GAAATTTGATTCTAAAAACGGCAATGCAGGCATCTGCATTCCTTGTGTCTTAAGTGATTTCTACATCCAGTTTGCAAGGACAAAAAATGCTTTTCTAACTGAATCATCCCAGGCAGCTCCAGCTTCATTCTTTCTTGCGTGGTGCATCGCAAGCTTCCTTAACCATGTCCTCATGCCAGCCTGAGTAGAACTTGGCTTCTTCTACAAGGTGAACAGGAATCACTACTAATATTGGTGTAAAAGCCAGTGCCTCTGGCACAGGAAGAGGGCAACATTTTTACATAATGGCTTTTCCAAAACAGAATGCAGTCAAATTTGCAGTGTGTTTGGGACCTGGTTCGAAATGTAAAGGAAGAGGTGTTGTGCTCTAAAATATTTTACAGAACCACTTCTCAGAAATGCTTAGTCACAATGGCTAATCAAGAGAAGAACATGCTTATTTGGAAATAGTAAATCCTTCCTCCAAGAAGACACAAACCATCTGCATTTTACTGTGGGAGCATATTTAGACGGTCACATTCATTCTATAAATATTTTGTCAGCGATCGCATTTCTGGCTAAGTGGGTAAATGGAAGAATGCAGGAACTAAAGACAATGAGGGGTTATTAATTCAAATCTGCAGCAGCGAAACAATGCAAGAGAGAAGTCTTTTAAAGTTTCAGTCTCATGAGGAGGAGGTGCAGACACTGGTATGACCTGGTTCATAAGCCACACCACCACAGGACTTGAAAGTGTCTGAAACAATCCCTGCCTTGACTGCCCTGGGGAAGACGCTCTTTGTGAGCTGTCAAGCATGAGACTTGGATCAAATGGAAACCAACCTCACAAGAGGTCTTAAGTGATTTTAGAGCAACGCACATATGGAGATGAGTGGTTGCTGGGCGAATTAAGGCATGTGTTTGGATCGGTGGTGGTTGTGCTACGTTTCTATCTTAAATCCTTTTGTTAACAAATACACCCACTGGATGGCTGGATAGCTCCTGCCTTTTACATGCCACACATTTTCTTCTCTCCTGTTTGCTGGAAAGGGGAAAAGAGCAAGAGTTTCCTATTTCCCAGCCAGCACTGTGGAATCTTTCTCTGCCTACTTGCCTCTTCCTCCTTGCTCAAGCGGTTGTAACTTTTGAGTGGGGGACAGGGTCAGAGGTTCTGATTCAAAATGTGCCCTGGTGATCCTGGATGCCTTGTGAATCCCGCTGCCTCCAGCTTGGTAGAGAGCACTTTTGCTCTTACACTGAGAAGCTTGCGCTTGGCCTACAATGTCTTGAGCAACTGCAGGGCACATGCTATCATTAAGCAGGCTGCCTGAGCTGCCACTTGGATGGGTGTCCAAGATGGGTTTGTCTTATCTGGCTATAATGGTTCCACTGGGGAGATGTGATTCCTATGCAGAGGACAGGCCCATCCATTGGGATGGCTGTACCATGGGTTTGCATTTTGATTTCCCAGGGCTAAGCATAAGCATGACATTTCCATAGGGTTCGCTCCCTATGGGAAAGCCCCAGCATTTGTGCTTTGCCCCTATAGTGAAAGGTGGTCTTGTTGCTTATGGCTCTCTGGTATGGAGACTGCTGTTGCTGCAGGTGGGCCTGGCTCCGAGAAGGCTGTACCCCAGATCTTAGGAGTTCAAGTGTAAAGCACATGTTCATTGTTCCTGCGGCGCACGGTCAGCAGAAAGGGGATTACGTGACAGAATTTATGAAGCAAAACTCCCTGCAATGTCTAGAGGGTCACTTAGCCACCTTCTACAGGACCCCTCACCTTCACATGGTACCAACAGCGGCAACGGCTTCCATTGCTTCCAATGTCACTGGGGACAGTGTCAGGATTGTATTTAGCAACCAATAATACGTGCCCCAGAATGCGTGCAACTGGGAAGTCATTGTATAATTACAAATAGGGAAGAAGAGAGTCTGCAGAGGGGGAATTTCCCTGCTTTCCCCCAAGGCAGGTTAATGGCTAATGGGCTAGGGTAAGGACCCTGGGCTTCAGAAAAGCAGACTTTGACTCACTCAGGGAACTGATGGGCCGGATCCCCTGGGAGGCCAGTCTGAGGGGAGAGGAGTCCAGAAGAGCTGGTTGTACTTCAAAGAGTAAAAGTCAGCACCAGTTAGGATGCTGAACATGGTTCATATGCAAATATCAGTTGTCATCTGCTTCCTGGACAACTATTCAGAGGTGAATACGGAAAAAGTGACCTGCTGAGTCAAGAAGGACATGGGAAGATGAGGCCATGATGACACTGAGCTTAGACCACACTCTGAAATGCAAGAAAAGTCCAAGCCATGCTTTCCCATCACAAAGGATGAGCAGCAAGGGAATGAAATGAAACTAAGACTTCCTGTTGGTTGTTTTAGCCACTTGGTGGATAAAAAAATTAAAGTTTGGACGTGAAATGGGAGCAGATGCTGGATCTCAGGCTGCTCTCTGAATGTCATCTCCAGCCCTGGCTTGGTTCCTGCTTTGCTTTCAAGGGATTTTTGTCTGCGGAACTAGAACAGACCAGTGACGCTCAGTTGTACGAGTGGTGTGAACTGGATCAGCCCTGTGCTGCCCAATCCAGGCTATCCAGCCCATGGGGCTCCCCGGGCATCAGGATGGTGACAGCAGGGGAGCTGCAGTTAGCTGCCACTGGTCCCCTGCCACTAGGTGTTGGAGCCATGGGGGGCCCTGCCAGCTGGATGACAGTTCTGCGGGCCAAACCCAGCTTGCTGGGCTGAGCTAGAGGTTGAGCACCCCTGGAATAGACCATTGGGAGACAAAGCCCTTGCATCCAGAAGTGACAGGTAGTTTGGGTGCTCCCACTGTTGCAGGGCTCAGCTGAGAGTGACCTGATGTCCTAGGCATGCTGAGCTCTGGCTCTCTGTGCATCAGGGTCCCCAGCGGCACCTAGGTAGGGGACTACCCTCATCCTTTTTCATTTTAACGTTCTGGTGATGGAGTTTAGACCCCCTTGCCTCCCTGCCCTATCACATGCACTTGGAGGAGAAGGTGGTGATTAGGAACAGTCAGCATAGATTCACCAAGGGCAAGTCATGCCTGACCAACCTGACTGCCTTCTATGACTGGCTCTGTGGATACAGGGAAAGCAGTGGATGTGATATACCTTGACTTTAGCAAGACTTCTGGTAGTCTCCCACACCATTCTCACAATCAAGCTAAGGAAGTACAGGCTGGATGAATGGACCTTAAGGTCAATAGAAAACTGGCTCCATCATCAAGCTCAAAGGGTAGTAATAAATTACTTGATGTCTAGTTGGCAGCCAGTATCAAGTGCAGTGTCCCAGGGGTCAGTCCTGGGGCTGGTTTTGTTCATTATCTTCATCAATGACCTGGTAGATGGGATGCAGTGCACCCTCAGTAAGTTGACAGATGACACCAAGCTGGGAGGAGTAGCAGATATGCTGGAGGGTAGGTAGGGCTAGGATTCAGAGACCTCAACAAATTGGACGATTGAACCAAACAAAATCTCATTAGGTTCAATCAGGACAAGTGCAAAGTCCTGCACGTAGGATAGAACAATGCCATGCTCCAGTACAGGCTGGGGGTGACTGGCTGGGCAGCAGCTCTGCAGAAAAGGACCTGGGGTGACAGGGGACAATAAGATCAATAAGCTGAATATGAGCCAGCAGTGTGCCCTTGTTGCCAAGAAGGCTAATGGCATCATGGGCTGCATCGGTAGGAGCGTTGCCAGCTGCCAGATCAAGGGCAGTGATTCTTTCCCTCTGCTCAGCACTGGGGCCCACATTTGGATCGTGTGTCCAGTTGTGGATCCACCACTGCAGAAAGGATGTGGACACATTGGAGAGAGTCCAGCGGAGGGCAATGAAAATGGTTCGGAGCCTGGGGGACGTGACTTGTGAGGAGAGGCTGAGGGAGCTGGGCTGATTTAGTCTGGAAAAGAGAAGACTGAGTGGGGATTGAATAGCAGCCTTCAACTCCCTGAAGCGGGGTTCGAAAGAGGATGGAGCTGGGCTGGGCTCAGTGGGGGCAGACGGCAGGACAAGGAGCAATGGGCTCAAGCTGCAGCAAGGGAAGCTGAGGTGGGATATTAGGATAAACTCTCTCACGAAGGTGGGGAAGCACTGGGACAGGCTGCCCAGAGAGGCGGTGGTGCAGTCTCCATCCTTGGAGGGGTTTAAGCCAGGGGGAGGCAAAGCCTTGGCTGGGGTGCTGGAGTTGGGGCTGGTCCTGCTTGGTCTAGATGTGACCTCCTGAGCTCCCTTCCCCCCTCATGTTCTGTGGTTCTGTGCACACATGAATGCACACGTGAACACACACACGTACACATGCATACGCACACTTACATTTACACATACACACATACATGCACACATATGTGTATGTCTACACATACATGTATATACACGTGCACATGTACACACACGTGCACATATACACACACACGCGCGCACATGGTCACATGCACACATACGGTCACGCGTACACATATACGTGCACACGTGTGCTTAATGCGTATACACATGTACACATACGGGTACACGCGTGGTCACGTGTACACCTACATGTGCACATGCACACACACACACACACATGTACACGCGCACGTACAAGTAAACACAACACGTGCGCGCGCGCACCTCTCTCTACCTGCACACCAGGACACATGCATGTGCTCACACGCACACGTCCCCCGGCCCGGCCCGGCCCGGCCCTCCCGCGGCGCTGCCCCCGCATCCCCGCC